TGATAGACAGCCATTGGACTTTGCTGTCCAAAGGAGTGTTCCTGCAATGACACTTTTAGGTTCCCCTTGAAAATGTGTGAGGCCTGTGGTTTGCAAAGATGTTTAAGACACTGGAATCTTTTCTTCCAATGAAATCACCCATGGTAGCAGATCAAAGCAGAGCTATTTACTCTGAGGAGAGAGATCTCAGTCTGTTCTACTCCTTTCCTCTTTCCCAGTGGCAGTTCCTGCGACAACTCATGAAATGTGACTTGAAGACTACCAGGCAGGTACCACTTCAGAAGGCAGGGAGACTCTTTCTGAGAGTAACAGTTGAATTGAGATCCAAGTCAGAAGGCCATCTGGGCATGAGAACAGCAAGTGCAAAGGTCCTGAGGTAAAACATGCTTAGCAAGTATGAGGCATAGAATGCTCTCTAGTGTGGCTACAGTGTAGTGAGTATAAGGGTCGAGGTGAGCAACTCAATCAGACAGGTAGGTGGAATTCACTAAAGGAAGGCCATATGGGTAGGCTACAGGAATTTGGATTGCATTTATTGGAAGCTATTGAAATAATCATCAGCTGATTAGGTTTTTTAAATATCACTGGCCACTATCTGAGACAAAAGTAGAAGGCAGGACACCAGTGATCTATTACAGTGGTTCACGTGAGAGATGATAGAAACTTGCCTGGGATGGTAGCGGTGAACATTTCGGAGTTGATAGGTGCAGAGAGGGGTGAGACACACTGTCTCATCTCAGGCATGGATTTCTAGGATGGTGGGGCACTGAGTGGGTGAGGACCCCCTTCTGTTTATTTCCTGCCAATATCCTGTTCTTCTGTCAGGACCCACTTCCATTGGAAACCCTCCCTCACCCAGCACTACTGTCTGTATCAGAGTTACTCTTTTCCTAGCACTTCTAGAGTTGGGAAGGACCCTGAAATCATCTCTTCCAGCTCCCTGATTTCACAAACGGAGGGGACCATGAGCTCAGCTGATGAGCGACTCAGCTATCTTAACCCCTAGTTGAGAGCTATTTTCCTTTAATCCTTATCTTTTCATTTATGCATGTCTCTATCCCTACTTGATCATAAGCTCCTTTGTTTAGCTTTTTTATTTAGGATTTAATTAAAGATTCTTAAAGGTAGAGATCATGTCTTATTCTCCCTTGTAACTTGCTAGCATCTAGTGTAGTGCTTGGTCTGAACATAGAAGTTCAAAAACTATCTGCCAGTCATCCGTTCTGCACTCTGTGGAGCCCCCTTCCACAGAACTTGTCCCACCCTGTCACAGCCTGTGACTCCTCCAGGCCCGACAGGCTACCCAGGGTGATGGTTGGCACTGCCCATGGCCCTGTTCACAGCACAGACAAGATCCTTGTTCTCCAACAGAAGGGCTTGGGAATTGAGTTCTTTTCACTTAAGTGCGACCCTATAACTCCAGTTAGGATTGGGGTGTGGTTGGAATTAGGCCAAAATCCGTAAACCCATGTTGGAGGAGGTTCTTTGAAGAAGATTATACATTGTCACTATTGCCTTTCTTGGACCACCTCATTTTCATTAGAGACACAGAGACAAAGTCTAATGGCGTAGCCTCAGCGGCTAGGTCTATGACCTCATATTCCCCATAGAGAGGGCTGAATATCAATTTTCCTCAACAGAAGCCCCCTTGTGTGTTTCAGCAGCTCTTGGCAGCCCTGTGCTATTTGCCAAAAAGACTGCTGCACTACTAGTGAATGAAGGAGGCTGAGTCCTGGGTTGTGATAGATATGCCCTTTCACTGACACATATTTTCCAAAAAAGTCATTTAAAATCTGTATTTTGTTCCTCAGAGGCCCTCACCTAAATCCAGCAAGTGCGGGGGAAAGTTCTGGTGCCCTGAACTCTTCCAGTTCACTACCAATCTACAGGCAGAATTGTGCACATCACATTAGAGGACTCAGTCATGCCCTTGCCCCCCTGTTTTCCTTCTCCCCAACTCTCCAGGACTGGATTGGTGTTTGTCGAAGCACATCATTGCTTAGACTATCAGAATACAGTGCTTAGGAAGAGAAGAGAATATGTTATTCATTTGGTCCATTTCTTGAGCATGTATGTGCCTGCATCTGTCCGTTTATAATTATTAAGATGCATTTTCCAATTTGAATTTATAAACAGAGAAGTACATAAAAATATAAATCCTTGTTCACAGCAGAAAAGAGTAGCATATGTGGAAACAAACAAAGCTTGTTCCAACTCTTCCATCTTTGTGGAGGGAAATTTCCTAGCAAATTGCATAGATGGCCTGCTGAAAAGATCATTTTAAGTGAGAACCATTAAGATTTTCATGTCCATGGGAGTACTGATAACAGGAACTTTGGGGTGGGGGCGGCTATGAGACAGGATCTCAATAGGCACTTGAGGCCATCCTTGAACTCACTATGTAGCCCAGGCTGGCCTTGAACTCACAGTGATCCTCTTGTCTCAGCTTCCCAGTGCTGGGATTACAAGCATGCACCACCACACCTGGCTTATGACAAGAATTTTTAAAAGATTCCAAAATCACAGAACAATTGGCAGGAAGATGCCTGTGTTAGTCAGATTTCTGTCCTTGCGATTAAATACCTAAGGAAGCCAGTTTAAGGGAGAAAAGATTTGTTTTGGCTCCTACTTGAGAGGTCTCAGTCCATGGTTGTCTGGCTCGATTGCTTTGAGGCACAGGTGTGGCAGAATGTTATGGCTGTGGAAGAGTACTGAGGAGGAAGTCGCTCACCTCATAGCTGCCAGGAGGCAAAGAGAGAGGGGAAAAAGCCAGAGAGAAAGAGGCCAGGGACAAGATATACCCTTAAAGTTACACCCCTAGTGACTCACCTCATCCAGTTAGTCCCCAACCCCCAATAGGCCATCTAGCTATGAACTCTTCAGTGGGTTAATCCACTGATGAAGTTAGAGACCTCATGATCCCATGGCTTCCCAACCCTTCCCACCTCTGAACATTACTACACTGGGCACTAAACTCCCACAGAGGAGCCACGGGGGACATATCATATCCATACCATCATGATGCCCATATTAGCAAGATGTGTGTTATCAAGAGGTTGAGTCACTCCCAATTGGTAATTAGCTCCTCATGAACCTTATCTCTCCACTTGCTATTTATCACCCATGCTTATTGTGTCTTGCCCAACCTGCTGGAAGAATTTGCCCTCAAAGTATGTACATCAAGCTCTGTCAGCCACAGGTGGTTTGAGAAGACTACCACTTCTTTGAGATGGACTTTCACTCGCAGAACTAATCCTTGGACTTAATGAAGAGAATAGTGCCACTTGATGAGAAAAAAATGTCCCCATTTTCCACAGTATCCTACATAGATATACTTTCTACCAAGTCCTTGTGGGACATCTGTCACATGCAGAGCTTTGGTTCATAAGGTGCTAACTCCATCCATATCCCTAGCTCAGAACTTTCTCTCCTGTTTCAGATCCGTGTTTCCTAGTGCCTCAGTCCTCCCAGATTTAAATTCATGCCACTGCTAGGTGACATTTCATGTGCACATGCATGTGCACGTGCATGCAAATACACACACTTGTACTATCCTAAATCTAGGAATTGTATCATTACACACTCAATAATAGTTTCCCTAGCCGGCATTTGGAGGCATTACAGCAGTGTGTGAGACACGAGCAGGCCAGCTTAGATTTTTCAGTTTGGATTATTTGAAACCATTAAGACACACGTTGCTTTTGTCTTGCCACCTCTGCTCAATCGCTATCCCTTTGCGCCAGAAGCCGCACCCCCTCACTCACACACACAAATCCTTCTGCCCTGACACAGGATTCTAGCAGGCTGCTCCACAGAAGTCATCTGAAAAACTTTCAAAAACAATAGATTCCCATGCTCTCCCCTAAGAGACTGATTCTGGAAGTCTGAGCTGTGACTTGTTCCACCCTGGGAACCATCAGAGAATTCACTTTGAGCACTGGGGTAGAATGTAAGGGGACCTGAATGCTTTGTAACTCCCGCAAGTTTGAGACCTTTGTCCTCACAAGTGATATTGGTGCTGTGTGTGCACGTATACTGTTGTCGTAGACACACACACATAGATGTGCACACTTATACATGTACCTCAAATGCATACATGTGCACATGCACCCACAGACATACATACAGACACGCAGGACATATTTTAGTTATACTACATTTGTAGCCAGGTCACCCCTGACAATTCTTTAAGTTGTCTCTTCAAATAGTCATGCTGAAACAACCATTCACTAAGCCATTACAGTCCTCAGGCTCTACACCCACCTTACCGGAGCCTCAGACCTGCTTGCTGATGGCTACTGCAGTAGCCTCCTAGCTGTGCCTCTACCTCTGAACTATCCTCTATACTTCTGCCAATGTCCTTTGGAAATGCAGATTGCAGAGGATCTCAGAGGGGTTAGTTTCCCAAGGAGAATACTTTGGGAAATGTTGTCTTATAGGAAACAGGAAAATATTTCTAGGAGTTGGAAAGGTGAGAAGACAAACTGAAAAGGAGCATTTTCTCTTGGTGGCCAAAGGGTCATTGGTGAATAGATGATAGGAACACTTAATATTATACAAGATGTTCTATATAAGAAAGAAGAAAATATATTTTTCCTATTAAAGAAATTCCAAATGAGATCTTTCTTGTGTCTCCTAAGAAAGACAGTGAATTCAAAATGCTTTAGAGAAAGGAACTAAATGAGGTCCTGTCTCACTCCACCCTACATGAAATGCCATTGAGACATTTATTTGGGATATTTTCCCAAATAAGAGACTTCCTGAGTTTGTCAAAGACTGGGTATTATTAGGGAATAAGGAAGTGATGATCACTTCTTAACCACGTGAGTACGTTCAGATGGTGCTGTTGGAAATAGCCTACTCTTACTTGGATCTCCTTACTTCTTCTCCTCAAGAAAATTGAAAATGTAATGATCCTAATGTCTTTCTTTCTCTCTCCTTCTCCTTTTCCCTTTCCTCCTCCACTTCCCCACCCCATATTTGTTTCCTTTGTTCTCCAGGAACCTTCTGCATCATTTCACTGTGTACCTGTGTGGCTGGTATCAACTTCGAGCTGTCGCGCTACCCACGCTACCTGTACGGACTCCCTGATGACATCAGCCATGGCTATGGATGGTCCATGTTCTGTGCATGGGGGGGCCTGGGCCTCACACTCATCTCGGGATTCTTCTGTACCTTGGCCCCCTCTGTCCAACCTGTCCCGAGGACCAACTGCCCTAAATCCAGACCCGAGAATGGGACAGTGTGC